ATGTTTATGAGAAATAAAATGATTTTGTAACTTATAAATGCATTAAATGTAGAAATGAGAAAGAAAACGTTAGAACATTATAAAAGTGCATAAATTGCATTTTTTACTCACCGCATTGCACTATTTGATGTTTCTGTTGCGCTAATTTCGCGGTGGCAAAAAACTTCGATTTATTTTCGAAATTCTTACCGCGTTTTTGATCAAATTTAGTGCATTTTTGACCCATTTTGAGCCATTATATCTAAAAATAAATGCATAAGATTAATTCTCATTTTGTGGGGAAGACATGTTTGTATTTGAACCTTCCCCTAACTACATATATAGACATCACGTTAAATATTCTTTTCACCTTCTCAAATGAATTTGAATATGGTGAAATCTCGAAACTCAATATCAAAGAAAAATATTGGGTTGATAATATGATGTTATGAATACTTGGGAGTATTATTTTAATTAACTTAGGGTATGTTTGGGAGTTGTGAGAAAGACCTTCTTCGTATTTGGGAGTAATAAGGGTATGTTTGGCTCAACTAGCTGAAAAGATATTTTGTGAGTTTTTAGTAACTGTTAGCTTTTAGTGACTGAAAAGATCTTAAAAAGAAAAGGTGATAGCTGTTTGGTAAAAAGCTGACCGGATTTAGTTCGGTTTGGTATACAAGCTGTTAGGACTAAATAATACAAGGTGATAACTGTTTGATTGAGCTTTTCTAAGATGCTACACCCGGTAGTATCTCAAAAAAAGATCTTTTAATTTTTGAAAAATTCTTAAAAAATGTCATGCCAAACATACAACCATAGTCTTTTAAGGTCTTTTTAAAGAGTAGAGAAACTAGAAGATGAAGGCTTTTGTGTGTCAAACATAGCTTAAATTTGAAAGAACAGAGCTTTTGAAAGAATTATAATTCAAATCACTTTGCGACATGATGAATTCAAATAATTGAACTGATATTTATTTTTAGGTAGATTCTATGGTACCCATAAGGTACCATACCTTTGTCCACATGAACCAATGAGAATGATCAATTGAATTATTTAAATCTAAATTAAAAATGATAAAGTGATGTGGTCCAATCAAATGAATAATATGTACGGTACTCCATTTTTTAAAAAGGTGCCGGAGTTGTCACCTTTTTTTAATTGAGCTAAACTTATCATCTCATTAAGTATTCTTCAAAACCCTCCAAATTGGAGAAACTTAAAAATTTGGCATTTAAGAGGTTTTGGAGGGTTACAAAAACCCTCCAAAATCATCCCCTCCAATTTTTTAAGCTCTCAAACATGGAAATGAGGGTGATATACCATGTCAACCTTCCCCTCCCTTGGGTAACCCAACTCCCAAACACACCCTTAATAAAAAAATCACTAACCATTTCCGAAGTCAGATGAAGTTTTTCTAAAATATTATTGAGGTTAAACTCACAAGTAAAAATGTAGGGTGATTAAAATTACTATGTGTAACATGGTGAAAGTTGAACATAATATAATCATAATCAATAAAAGATATCAATATAATAACTGCAAAGAAGAGGTTATGATATTATCGCGCTATTACGTACCCTTATTTATAGAGTAATATATAAGTGATTATATCTTTTAGCTCTCAAATGAATTTCAATATGAAGAAAACTCGAAACACAAAAATTGGGAATAAAAGTATTAGGTTGATCATATGATTTATGAATACTGAAATACATTTGAAAGTGATCAAGGGGTATCACTTTATTAAAAAATCAAAACCACCAACCGTTTTGGAAGTTAATAATAATGCATTACTCAAATTGAAGTGGTGCCACTAGGCTTAGGAGGAAAAAAGGGCTTGGGTTTGACTAAGCCAGGCTGGAAGGTATTTAGGATTGAGCAAATGGACATTTCCTTCCGTTGAATCATAGCGTTTTCCGTCACAATTTTCTCATGCATCTTGTTTTGTTGTTTAGCATAATTAAGTGACTGATAAGAAATTAAAGATGGACGATCTTTGAATTGATTCGAATATGTTCAAAAAAGGCATCCACGTTTCAGTTTCACTTTATATAACTCTCCACGTCTATAAATTTATTTTAATTTTATAGATGACTTGGGCGATCAGGGAGTTAAATGTTTTTTTTATACACAAGAAAAAATAACATTAAATTAGAGTCTAATAATCTCTTTTTTTTTTTTTTTGGATGAAATGTAAATGTATTAACACCCAGAAAAATATACATCACATAAACTAGATCTCCTAAAACCCCTCCACCCCCACATAGTGTGAGGGTGAGAAGAGGTATTTATTCGATCTACTCTATGTCACAATTCACCAAGTAAAAAACTCGGTGCCTCTAGAGGTTCAAAACAACATACATCAGTGCACCCGGAGCACACACATCAATGCGGCCGGAGCACACACAAAGTGACAAAGGTCAAAATTCAATCAACCTACAATGGTTGCTGCGGTACATACATACTACCCATGCCGCGGCGCCCAAAGATGTCGATGCCTTGGCATCCAATATTTTCATGCTTCGGCGGGCAAAAAATCATTCGGCATTCATAATATCCATGTCGCGGACTTCAAACTCAGAACTTCACCAAGTCATGTGGGTAGATACTAAAGAGTATTTTGTACACCACATGCTTGGTTTTGGCGACAACATCATCTTCAGTCTTTGTGCCTTCATCAAATCTCGCTTCATTGCTTGCTTGCCAAATATGATAGACCGCAGCACAAAAGGCCAGTCGCCCTGCCTTGGCCTTCAACGTTGATCTCTAAGAGCCCATTTGGTGACCATGCTTTTCGGCCTATCAGCCAAACACACAATATTTTTATTTCACACGCAGAATTGTGTAATAATAACAAAAAGTAAGATTGAAGTTACTTTTCTGACTGTATTGGCTGAAATTAATGTAGATAATCATTTTAGCTATTTTCATACGGAGTATAATTTTTCTTTGTTTTATTTATAAATTTTTTCTTCTATAAATCATCAGAATCAACCAATCTAGTCACTTTAGCCAGAACTTTATAAATTTCAACAGAATCATGTGATTCAATCAAATTCAGTGCTACAAAACCAACTCTAAATTGATAACATTCTCCAGGTCGAAGCGTGTTTAATGTTAGTATAAAAGGGCCATCTTGAAGAAGTGTTTGGCAATCCCGAACTTGGACTCCAAAATTAGCAATGCATCATCTTTTCTAAGTGCAATGGATCGAACTACCTTCCGTCTCAAACTATGGATCGAACTAATTGTATGCGCAGCCGAAGTTGGGTCACATCTGGGTCCTTCAATAATTGACGCTTTGGATTCACATGTCTTAATAGCTGCGAAATTCTTTGATTTTGTCGAGGGAAAATGAGGTCGGCTAACAACCCATTTTTTACGTTCATTGGTTCGTTCGCCACAAAGACTCTCGGATAGGAACTGGGCTAGCTTTCTGATCCACACAAATGATCAATAAATAGCCATAAATTATGGCCATAAATAGTTTGACACCCTTCAATGAAGTGAATTACTCATGAGGATATATATTATGGCCCATAATATATATCCTCATGAGTAATTCACTTCGTTGAAGGGTGTCAAACTAATAAATGATCGAAACTTACAACAACCAAGCGGAGATTACAATTCATGTATATATTATGGGTTGAACTCGTGGTCCACACAAGTATAAAGTCTATCATCGTTGGATTTGAGATTCAATTACTTTGATTTACAACCACCTATATTAGTCAAGTCGGGGATTGGGGGCCGAGGTTAAGAATTCAATCTTTTGAGTAACAAATAGCCATAATATTATTCAACTGTTTTTTGTGTGGGAAAATCTGACACATAAATTGAGTGAATTCTGCATATAAAAAGTGGATTTGTAAAGTACGAGTTGATTTTAACCAGCTACTCAATCCATAACTTTAAAATCTTCTTATTTGAAAAGTAGGTAGATTAAGAATAGTGAAAGAGGATACGAAGTACGGAGTATAAATTATTGAGGGTATGATGAGAAGATGGTGGAATAGTGCGATGGAAGTAAGGATACATAAAAAAAGTAGCTGTAATAGTGTATTATTTTCAAAATTATTGAGGGTGTGATAGGAAGATTTAGAAATGAAAAGATTTTTTTAGTTACTGATATGCTACACACTCACAACGGTGATATTTATAATCGGACAAAATAGAAAAGTTCTCATTGTTGTTTCATTCAACTTTGGACAATACATTTTTTCACTTTTACGACACAAGTGATTGGGAAATAGGAGGTATTATAGTTTTTATAAATAGTACTTATGGGAGGAACAATATTTCATGTATTTAGATTTAAGAATATGATAGCAAAAACCAATTAAAAAGATAATATAATATTTTAATAAAATTTTATACTTTAAATAGATATATTCATGTTTGCTCCCCATTGACCTTTTATTTTCAAACTTAGTTATAGTGCGACATATTATATACTTCATGTCTCCCTTTGTGCCATTGAACTTTGCCAATCTTCCCTTTTTTATTGTCCCCAAAAACTTTGTCACTTACCTATTAAAACAACTAATTGTGTATCTGCACATTTTTCTCTCTTCTTCACAAAGCTCAACCACACAATTTTTACTATTCTTATTTCTCACCTACTTTGCACTTGACAAAGTCCACCAGGGCGGAGGTAGTAAAGGAGTAAATGGGCAGAGAGGTGAGACGGAATAATGGGCTGGTGAGTAAATGGGCCACATACGGAAGATGAAGGGCCGACTTTAGTCATAATTTTGGAATATGGAATAATGGTCATAGTCATAATTTTGGAATATGGAATAATGGGCAATTTATCTTGTTGAACTATTTTAGTTAAGTTTAGTTTTATTATTCCTCAACTAATTGATATTATTAATTGAAAAAATTGCACCCGTATCATTATTTGGCTTTCATTTTCAAAAACTATGACCATTATTCCATATTCCAAAATTATGACTAAAGTCGGCCCTTCATCTTCCGTCTACGGCCCATTTACTCACCAGCCCATTATTCCGTCTCACCTCTCTGCCCATTTACTCCCTTACTTCCGTCCGCACAGTACTCCGCCTCCATCGACGCATATGAACTTACGAAGCTCCAACAACAAAGCCTCGAGCGGATCCTCACCAGCCAGGCTTATTCTCTCCACCGCCACTGTTCTCCGGCCGCCGTTGCTCTCTTCTTCTTCTCATGTCTTGCTGCAACCGCTACCCATCCTCTTCCTTGCTCGATTGTGGCACTTCTCTATCTGATGGTCGCCGGTGCTAGATCTGCCGCCTGGATGGATGACAACCGCGATTTAGGGCCGCTGGTGTCCGATCTGCCGCCCTTGATGGACGACGGCTGCAATTTGAGGCCGCCAGGGTTCCGGATCTGCCATCTTGGTGGACGGCGACTCAGATTTGGGGATTGCGCTTCTAGTGGGGGTGCGGCGAGGGTTTCATGGTGGTGAAGGTGGTGGTACGGCTAAGCTTTTGGGGGAAATGGTCGGAGAGAGGTCTAGGGAGGACAAGGGTGGGGTAGGAAGCGGGACTGGGCGGCTAGTGACCGGAAATGGCCTGGGGGTCAGGGAGAGGGTTTGGGGGCTGGGGAGGGTGTGACGACGACAGTGATAAACCAGGTGGGCTGGATGGCGGTTGCCGGAATGTGGCGGCGTTGGACGGAATTGGGCGGGTAGTCACTTTGGCTGGTGGGTGGACAGTCACTTTGGGCGGGTCACTGTAATCAGTGGACGGGCGGGCACTGACTTTGGTCGGAGTCACTTTAGCCGGAGACACTTTGACCGGAGTCACTTTGGCCAGAGTCACTTTGGCGGCGGCGGTGCTGGAGTCGGCGGCGGCGGTGCTGGGGTTGGCGGCCACAGAGGTGTCGGTGGCTGCAAAATATGGACTACTAATCAAATATATAAAAGAAATATTGAATTAATAAATGTATGGTTAAATAACTGGAATAAGTGACTTTTAGTTACATTTTTTGAAAAATTTAAAATAGGTTACATTTTTATCCTTTTCATTCATTTTAGTAATATTGGAATAAAAAAGCCTTATTAATTTCTTGCCTTTTTATGAATGGCATGTAGTTAAACATATAGGCGAAATTAAACAGAGTAACTTAATATAGATTGAGACAAAAGAAGATGGCACGATTATTAAGAAAAATGAGTTTGTGTGATTGATATTAAGTTGATAAAGTAAAAATAAAGTAAGAACGATGTAGAGTCACACAAACTTTGCCAAATTTGGTATGAGACAATCTTAATGGGATTTTCTGAAAAGGTAAAATGGGGCAATCTTAACAGGACGGGGTGAGTACATCTTATACCATCAATCAGGGCCGGTCACGAGGAAACTAAAACCTGGTGCAACAACAAAAATTGAGCTTTCCTTTCCAAGTTCTAACACAAGTAATTTATGTTGAAGTACAAGTTACTAATGAGCATAATAATAACAATAAAATTGTTCATTAACAGAATACATTATATTTTAAGTCTTTTTTTATTTATAAGCTTCTCATAACGGGATGGTATTTATTTAAAAACATAATTACTATCAATTATTGAAATCATCCATTAATTCTATATATGTTTAAAAATTTTATATTAAAATTGAGTTTAGATTTTGGGTGAAACCATTAAAGACTATAATTATAAACGTAGAGGTAAAGACTATCAATAAGTAATTCTATATATGTTTACAAATTTTATATTAAAATGTTTTTTTGGCAGGTTTGTAGCGGGTGCCTTCCCTTGAGGCTTAATTTGCAGGTTCGAAGAGTTAACTGTTCGGGGCTTTGTGGTCTTTGTGAATCGGCTCCTGAAACGTTCGAGAAACTGTTCAGACTTTGCCTGGCGGCTAAAGATCTTTGGGCAGTAATTCGGTGGCAGTGGAGCTCAGCAGAAGAGCTGGACTTCTTGCAGCAGGTTAATGAGGAGTTCCGGAAGAAGCATATGACGGACCTGGTGCAATTGATATGGGGCTGCTGGTCATTGTGGACAGAACGGAACCAGCGAGTATGGCAGGGGACGGCTTCATCTCCGACGCAGGCAGCACACCGGGGTCGAGTTCTCGTCGAGGGCTGGCAGCAGGCTCAGCAGCAGGCGTTCAGTGGGCGACGGAAGCCAGCGATCCAGCGGGGGCGAGCATTCTGGAGCAAACCAGTTCAAGGTAGATGGAAGCTGAATGTGGATGCGGCGACGCGGACAGACCGATGCGGGCTAGGATGGTGCTTGAGGAGCTCGGAAGGTCAGTTTGTAGTTGGGGTATCAAAACCATGGTCGGGAGTATTGACAGCGTTGGGTGCTGAACTTGTGAGCATTCGGGAGGCATTGAGCTGGCTCTAGGAGCATGGCTTTAATTCGGTGGAAATTGAATCTGATGCAGCTAGAGCAATTTCGGAAATCCATGAAGGTTAAAGCTGCTCTTTGGTGGGACTTTTGAGAGACAACATTAGAGACATAGCGAATTCATTTTCGTTTATTTCATTTTGTCATGTGAGGCGATCAGCGAATAAGCCAGCTCATTTGTTAGCTTGAGCGGCTTGTTCTATCTCTGATTTGCAGTATTGGATTGATTCTCCTCCTTCTTTCATTGTTTCAGCTTTAGCCAACGATTTGATTAATGATAATTAAATATCTTCCTTTCAAAAAAAAGTAATACCAGAGTCGTACCAATTTCAAGTTTCCGCTTCTCTTTGTTGTTTTTCTAATTTCCTTCTTGGAGTGCAGCTGAGTAATATTACTAATGCGTTTTTCTTCTATTTGGGCCTTCACAAATAATGGGCCCTGTGCTAATGGGCTGACTGCACTTGGTTTGGGCCGCGAGCCCAGTCATCAATGAACAACACTTTAATTTAGAGCCCCTTTGGTAACACAGTAAACGAGTGAAATGATTGAAATTGCTAAGATTACTGAAATTCTGGATAAATATATTGGTAGAATATGTTGAATTCTGAAAAATAAAATAAAATATGTTTTATTAGTTAAATAAGAAAAGTTTATAGGGGTTTTTCCTTTATTATTACTAATAAAAAGTCATGAGCAAAATTATTACTTCGTAACTATTAGTGAATATAATTGTGTTCGAATTTACATCGTAGTAATTACATGTAAGTTACTAAATGTAAATTTTGAACACAATTATAGTCACTTATGGCTACTAAGTAATATTTTTGTCCACCACATTTAGACTAATATTGATAGATTTTTTTTTCTTTCAAATTTGTATGAAACAAAAATGAGCGTGCGTGTGAAATCCAAAGTTTAATTTGGTTGGAGTGTAAGAGTCATTATAGTAGGGTTAAAGCAATAATGAGGTGGACTAAATGAGAAAAGAGAAAGTTTTACATTTAAAAAAATGATCGAAAAATAGGTTCCTCCTGGCTTCATCCTACTACAATATAACCCTAGTGTAGATCCGCATGAGTGTTTGATAAAAGAGTTCTATTAAGATTGACAATTATTAGATGACTAGCTTCGGCGCGCGCGTTGCGCGACGATTGAGGCCCAATGTTGGGGAAAAACCGAGAAAATTTTATAAATGCATTCCAAAGCAAAAGAAATACAGAAGTTTAAAGATACTAAAAAGAAATTTGAGCTTAACATGATTGTTCCAAAGGGTTCAAATGTGTATTCAGTGAACTCAAAGTGGGAAAGCTAATTGCATAAATACATTATTTAGAAAATATGAAAAGTTTACCGAAGAATCGTACTAAAGTGAAGCTACTTACTTCACACAAGTTTCATGCCATGTTGCAATCACTCGCAATCCGACTGACCGGGTCTTTGCCAAACCTACTCTTCTTGCCCTTTGACTTTCTTGGTCTATCAATGCGTGATGTAACGTGAGATTTCCACTCAATTTTGTTATGCCCATCAGAGGAAACCCCAGCAGCAGGCTATGTGTGACCACGAACATGACGAAATATATGGAGGATGGCAACATCCAGTGCAGCATACTCTAGCTGATATTGAGTTAAAGGTTGTTGCTCCCATTTGCTATTTCGTCTGATTTTGTTCAAAGCAGCTCCCAATGTTATCTTTGATAGACCAAACAGGCCCCCCTTGACTACTCAAAAAGATTTTGAATGTCAAGAAGCATGTCATAGTGCTCAAAGCACTGCAGCCTTTCATAAGAGCATCACTGCAGGCAACATTATGCATTTCATACGTATTGGTTCCGCCTGGCAGCTTCTCGTCATCGCATGAGGAAATGGTGAACAATAGTGCTCTACCTCGGCCATAAATAGGTGGATAACAATAAAGAGCACTACATAATATAACAAATAAATAACAATGAATTTGTCAATTTGTTGATTACGCTGAAATTTATGAAGTTTATATACTGTTCATTTCTATTAATCAATGTGTTGAACAGATAATATATGTTTGCCATGATAGGGCAATTTGAACTTACAGAGTCCACCCCATTAAGATAAAAAATAGGCCGTCGGTCCTCTCCTCTATTTTCATATATTCTGTGATTTACAACTGCGCAGGCAATTAACATTTCGGTTTGAATGTGTGGGCCAGAAAGTTCAAACAAAATATCACAGCAACAATGCGAGGGCACAACAGTAGAGCACTTAAACAAAAAAAAACAAAATAGAGCACTTAAATAAAAAATTAGTTAAAAGAAAATTAAGGAACCTTGAAGGGCGAACTACATCACCAAGTCACCAAGTTGAGGAGCAATATCACTGCGACGAAAAGCAGAAATTGGACAGGAATACCATCACTGCAACTAAAAGTAGGAATTAGAGAAATAGCATTTCCAGAAAGTATAAAGATAGAAAATATCATAATTAATAGTTAATGGGATTAAAACCACAAAGTATATTTAATAATGCCAAATATGAGAAAAGTTATTGTTTTAAAGAGTGGAATGAGTCATCTTGAATAATTAAGACTACTTGCCTTCTATGCGTCCACCATATTTTTTTTTCATAAAGAGTGGATTTGAAAGAAAAGTTATGAAATTAAAAGACATAACACTGGCATACTTCTCCCACTTTCAAAATCAATATATTCTTATATTTCAAAGGAAATCATAATTATTTGATTGTAATGAGTTGAATAATCTAGTGGGTTCATTACAAGATCTCAAACAAAATTGATTAAAAAAATACAGCATATGTGCCTCCATATATCTTTAATTATAGGTTTTTTCCACATTCAACAAGATATTATGTTTAAGGCTATGTTTTTATGCCATTTAAGCTAATAGCAGGCTGAAATATCTATAATGCAGTCAATTATCACGTGATGAGCTTTGTTTGGATAAAAGAATAAAGTGAGTTTGAGGTCAAAAAAGGAAATAATGTTTTACAGAACCATTTGATGCCCATTCAATTTTTCAAAATCAAAGGAAAATTGAAGCGAAAGCAAAGCCGATATCAGTAGAATTTAAAAGAAAATACAAGTTGGGGGGGGGGTGAAGGAAAAGAAACTTTACCAAAGAAAAAACTCAGTGAGGCAAATTCACGAACACCTAGAGTCCTCCTTTTTTATATAGCAAGACAGAGAGCAACCGTACCTCCATGGAACCACGGTATGTACTGAAATATGTAATTGGGGGAAGACTAAGCTTCTTTTTCCTGAGATCATTAATATAACTTCTTATGCCCCACCATATCAGCAAGTCCACCACCATATAAGAAAGCTGGATTATAAAAACGATATAAGTGTTCATATATTATGACAAAGCTATTTATTCTCATAAATAAAACAATGACCCTCGGTGATCTGAAACACACAGTTGAGTAAAAACGAAATGGAATCTAAACTCTCCTGATCAATAAAAGGCAGAGGAAGACTTTGGGTTTGACCATCCCATGGGAGGTCTCACAATTCCCTGCAAGGAAGATACTTTCATCCATCTCACATCTCTGCTCAACATTAAAAATGAAAAAAAAAACATGGAAAAAGAGTTCAAATAATGAAAAATTCCATCAAATAAGAAACATATCTAAATTTCAGCTATATATACACACAAACACACACCTAAAGTAGACACTCCATTAAATAAATAATTTTTCAAAAGTAATTTCATGTATTATTTTCCAAATTTACTAATAACTACCATAAAGAGAGGCTTGCTCTTCAAAAGTGACAGAAATGTAATATCAAAGCAATGGCTGTATATGACAGAGTATATGATAGAGTTTGTGTCATTTGATAAACCTGAAGGACTGCCGTGCTAGTGACTAAATCAGAACCATCACAGCCTCAACAATTGGAAAATGCGAAGAAACCGCAACTAATTTTCATTTTTCTTTTTTATTGTAAAATATTTATTATATACGTAGTATATAGTTTAGTAGATACACGAAGTTAAATGCACTGCAAACACAATATAATATCAACAGTCCTAATTTTGAAAAGGTGCATATGATGTGTTTTCTATAAAAACAGCACACACAAAATTAGAAACAACAATACATAAATTCCAGACCTATAATCCTTCCAAATATTCTTTATCATGATACTTTTAGCTCTGTTTTCTCTTCACCTTCTGAAAATATGCCTATTGTAAATGTAACGCCAATAAGAAGGGCAGGCATTTAACAATCTATCATGATGAAAGTCTTACAACCAATCATCAATTTTTCAATGTCAACCGTAATCGCATTCTTTGATTACGATTAAACTCACTCAGGTTTAGGCCTTCTAAAAAACTTATGATTAGTTGCTTTTTGTTTTTGTTAGCACCATTCACTATTGAACTGGTTATCATTTATGATTAGTTGGTTTTTGTATCCTCACGAAAATTTATAATCTGAAAGTGCAATAGAAACGTGAAATAGTGCAACGCGGTTTGGTAGCACCAGAATCAAAATGTGCATAATAAGATATGGCAGCTTAAGCATAATGACCTGTATGGCTATACAGCTTAGTGGGATGATAAAATAGTTGAATGTTTTCCAAAAAAGAACCTGATTCTTTCAATCATTTGGTTTAATGATTGCATCTAGCATACCCACTCATGGTTCTACCCTGCCATTATAATACTGAGCACATTTAATATGGATTGAAAATGAAACAAATACGCTAACTAAGGAAATGGTGTTTACTTAAAGATATCAAATACCTGTAATACGATCGAGCACATTTTTAAAAAAAATCGTAGTCAAAGATTGATCTATGAGATGAAGTTCTAAAGAGTAACATTAGAAATAAAAAGAAACCAATAAAATATCAACTTGGGAAAAGGTCAAGAAGTTCAAAAATCATGAAACTGAATAGACCAGATAATCAGAGAAGATGGAAAACATGTGAAAATCAACGACGAAAATGTATCTATGCACTCATGTTTCCAAAGAAGAACTGAAAGAGATTGAGAGAAGGATACTAACTTGCTCAGATTGTTGGCAACCCTATTTTTACAAATATATAAATCAATTAAAAAGTCAAGAACGGAATGCAAAAAATTATGATGAGGTAATTGGGAGTGGGTATGCTAGATGCAATCATTAAAGAACATCTTAATAGTTAGATTAGATCTGACCTCTTCCTTTAACCCTTCTTAGATTCCTATTCCACCTACGGATAAGCAGACCTCTTTAATTAACCATTCTTAAACTCTCATTTCCGCCTATGGATAAGCAGCACTTGTTTTCAAATGATGGACTCACAGTGCTATATGGATAAGCAGAATTTGAGATGACACACATAATCTGTTATAAGAATGAAACCAAAACAAACCTGAAAAACTCATGGCAGAATCAATGGATATCCGTGTATATAGTTTACCCCTGGTGCCTGGTTGGTAAGGAGCTTAGAAGATTTTAGAAAATGAGTAGATGGCAGATTACATCACATGATGTTCCAATCATACAAATGAGGACAATTTTTCATAACCAAGGGTATCACCTCTAGCTGTTTCTTCTCCATTCTTACACGGAAATAGGCCAACCAACCTTCTTAGAGTACAAGCTGGTGCTAAATTCAAACTTCAACTAAATCATGCTTAAAGTACAAGCAAAAAATATAATACGGAGCAATAAGTAAATGGAAAATGGAAACCGGAAGCCAGAACTATCTGACTATATCATAAAAATAGAAACTAACCTCCCTTGGAAGCATGGTGCTGAATTCAAACTTTATCCATTCAGTCACTGCGTTTTTCTTCTACCCTGCATCACCAGGACTATGATATCCAATGGTGGGCGATGGCGGAGACAGTAGCAAGTTGAGGTGTATACCCTAAAGGTCTGTAAATACATACAATGCACAAACACACAAATATAAACATACAATGAAGCACTCTCAATGCCTAAAGGTCTGTAAAGACACATGTTGAGACATGTAACTAAAACCTGACTCCTCACTAACACAATGTAGAACAATTAGGCTTCAGAAAACATAAAACAGAGTATAAGAAATTTAAAATACAATAAGATAGAGCCCTTTACCTCTTTCAAGTGATAATTAAAAGGCACTCTTCTGTGTTGCTTCTTTTACCATCCCCATAGAAGGTTCCTATGTCATTATTGTAAAGCTTCTTTTACAATGTGTTAATGAAGAATTAACACATTAAGGTTAGATCTCAAATTGACATAGAAGGTTCCTATGTCATTATTGTAAAGCTTTCCCAGGATGTCCTCCATACATACATAAAAGTATAGAAGTGTAATTAGTTAATTACCACTGAAATGTTAGGAAAACTGGAGAAGAAGAAATGTTCACAATACCAAAACTGCATTTAATTTCATGATTTTAAATGCAATTTCTTGATTTTAGCATAACCTCTTAGAAGATTTAATTTCACATAACCAATGCCAAATAATAATGAAACTGAAATGAAATTAATCAGGAAGAGAGGTGATGATTACCGAGGCTGATCTGTTCATTTTTTATGGATCTTGGTGGAGCTTTTGTTAATTTTTCTTCTTTCCCCTCTTAGGATAGTTTGTCTGTTGGACCTGAAGAAAATTGAAAAACAGTTGAATAGTCCTCAGAAAGAGTTTCTTCATTGGACCCGCTTGGGACAGTGTCAGAATTAGTTACCGCAACCCGATTATGGGTGGCAAATGAGCTAGTTGGGACAATTTTTGGGTTATTTGGAACTCTATTATCAGATGAGGGATCAGAAAAGGGATCATCATTTCCCGAATCCAAATTTTGACTCAAAGAATCAAACCTGTTAACCTTAGGGACCTCACATTCTTTCTGAGCCTCAGAAGCATCATTGGCAGCAAGGGAAATATCATATGCAACTACTGTAATCTCTGGGACAGACTCATCATAAGCAGCAATCCTTTTATCACAGGCAATATTTTCAGAATCAGTAATAGCCATAGAGGGATCCAAATTCAAATTACAGGCAACTTTTGGCACTGAAGCATCATAGTTATTTGTTATCATGAAATAACAATCAAAACATCATAGCAAGATTTATCAAGCTCAGTAATTGGCAGTAAAGTTATCATGAAATAGCCATCTTTTATAGAATTATCACATTCAAAACATTTTCACTATCGTAACAGGGACAGAAGCATCACAGATAAAAAGAGCATTGCAGGCAACTTTAGTATTGCAGAAATACTCACAGTAAGGCTCAGGTGGAGTCCCCTAATGAGTGAATCAGAAATGGTTAAGTTGCGATTGAAAGTTGGAGCTGCAGACTTTTCCTTTACACACCAGTGTGTGTATTCTTGGCAGCAGTGACCTCAGCACCCAAAGAGCGTTGGAGCATCATCGGTTTCGGGTCCAAATTGAGAAAACCCTAAGGCCTTGTAGGCCTTCCGAATAGAAGCCATAGGGGGGCGGCCATTAAGGTAGGTCCCAACCAGAGACTAACAGAAATTAGAGAATAGAAACCTGGATTTCATCTTACAAGAAGGAAACCCCAGAAAGCCATTGAATCTCTCGGAAGGTTTGACAGGAACGTCAGGGTCGTTGATGTCCGAGGTGTTTGGCTGTGAGTACTGAGTACAACATCAGTTTGTTGTAAATCGACGTCGAGTTTTACACGAAGAACTCATGTTGGGCGGCTTCGGCTATAGGACTTCGACGGTAGGATTTTTGTGAACCCTAGCCTCTGAATTCGAAGAGCGCAGAAACTAAAATGAAGATTTGTGAGGGTGTCGAATGAGATAAAGCGCAGGAGCAAACAGAAGTAAACAGAGCAAGCGTCGGTTAACCTCCCTTGCGCCAAACTACAGTAACCGTCGAGCACTGCTTTAACGGAACAAGACCAACTAACCATCATAGGCGTATTATATATATACTAGCTTCGGCGCGCGCGTTGCGCGACGATTGAGGCCCAATGTTGGGGAAAAACCGAGAAAATTTTATAAATGCATTCCAAAGCAAAAGAAATACAGAAGTTTAAAGATACTAAAAAGAAATTTGAGCTTAACATGATTGTTCCAAAGGGTTCAAATGTGTATTCAGTGAACTCAAAGTGGGAAAGCTAATTGCATAAATACATTATTTAGAAAATATGAAAAGTTTACCGAAGAATCGTACTAAAGTGAAGCTACTTACTTCACACAAGTTTCATGCCATGTTGCAATCACTCGCAATCCGACTGACCGGGTCTTTGCCAAACCTACTCTTCTTGCCCTTTGACTTTCTTGGTCTATCAATGCGTGATGTAACGTGAGATTTCCACTCAATTTTGTTATGCCCATCAGAGGAAACCCCAGCAGCAGGCTATGTGTGACCACGAACATGACGAAATATATGGAGGATGGCAACATCCAGTGCAGCATACTCTAGCTGATATTGAGTTAAAGGTTGTTGCTCCCATTTGCTATTTCGTCTGATTTTGTTCAAAGCAGCTCCCAATGTTATCTTTGATAGACCAAACAGGCCCCCCTTGACTACTCAAAAAGATTTTGAATGTCAAGAAGCATGTCATAGTGCTCAAAGCACTGCAGCCTTTCATAAGAGCATCACTGCAGGCAACATTATGCATTTCATACGTATTGGTTCCGCCTGGCAGCTTCTCGTCATCGCATGAGGAAATGGTGAACAATAGTGCTCTACCTCGGCCATAAATAGGTGGATAACAATAAAGAGCACTACATAATATAACAAATAAATAACAATGAATTTGTCAATTTGTTGATTACGCTGAAATTTATGAAGTTTATATACTGTTCATTTCTATTAATCAATGTGTTGAACAGATAATATATGTTTGCCATGATAGGGCAATTTGAACTTACAGAGTCCACCCCATTAAGATAAAAAATAGGCCGTCGGTCCTCTCCTCTATTTTCATATATTCTGTGATTTACAACTGCGCAGGCAATTAACATTTCGGTTTGAATGTGTGGGCCAGAAAGTTCAAACAAAATATCACAGCAACAATGCGAGGGCACAACAGTAGAGCACTTAAACAAAAAAAAAAACAAAATAGAGCACTTAAATAAAAAATTAGTTAAAAGAAAATTAAGGAACCTTGAAGGGCGAACTACATCACCAAGTCACCAAGTTGAGGAGCAATATCACTGCGACGAAAAGCAGAAATTGGACAGGAATACCATCACTGCAACTAAAAGTAGGAATTAGAGAAATAGCATTTCCAGAAAGTATAAAGATAGAAAATATCATAATTAATAGTTAATGGGATTAAAACCACAAAGTATATTTAATAATGCCAAATATGAGAAAAGTTATTGTTTTAAAGAGTGGAATGAGTCATCTTGAATAATTAAGACTACTTGCCTTCTATGCGTCCACCATATTTTTTTTTCATAAAGAGTGGATTTGAAAGAAAAGTTATGAAATTAAAAGACATAACACTGGCATACTTCTCCCACTTTCAAAATCAATATATTCTTATATTTCAAAGGAAATCATAATTATTTGATTGTAATGAGTTGAATAATCTAGTGGGTTCATTACAAGATCTCAAACAAAATTGATTAAAAAAATACAGCATATGTGCCTCCATATATCTTTAATTATAGGTTTTTTCCACATTCAACAAGATATTATGTTTAAGGCTATGTTTTTATGCCATTTAAGCTAATAGCAGGCTGAAATATCTATAATGCAGTCAATTATCACGTGATGAGCTTTGTTTGGATAAAAGAATAAAGTGAGTTTGAGGTCAAAAAAGGAAATAATGTTTTACAGAACCATTTGATGCCCATTCAATTTTTCAAAATCAAAGGAAAATTGAAGCGAAAGCAAAGCCGATATCAGTAGAATTTAAAAGAAAATACAAGTTGGGGGGGGGTGAAGGAAAAGAAACTTTACCAAAGAAAAAACTCAGTGAGGCAAATTCACGAACACCTAGAGTCCTCCTTTTTTATATAGCAAGACAGAGAGCAACCGTACCTCCATGGAACCACGGTATGTACTGAAATATGTAATTGGGGGAAGACTAAGCTTCTTTTTCCTGAGAT